CCGCATTCAAAATCCGCTCCGCCGTTCCTCAGGCCCGGCCCGCAGCTTTACAAATGCCTCTGTGCACGGCCTCGGGGATACTCTCCGAGGAACGATGCTGCAGATCTGCACCTCTGTAAAACAGGTCTCGCGGCTCTGCAGGAATACCTGCGGCCGCATTTAAAGCTACAGCCACCCCCGAAGGCGTTCCACCACTCCGCCGCTGACAGCTGACATGCCAGGAAGCATCAGGCCTCCGGTGAAGGAATTTGCACCCCCCTCCAGCTATCAAAGAACATGACGTCCCAGCATGCACCGCACAGCCCCTGCAGGGCAGACCAGGACCTGCCACCAGAACGAAGCTGGAGGGTCCAGAATTACCAAAACAGAAGGAGCGCCCCCCCCCCCCAGATAGAAGCTGTACCTTGTAGGGGTCCGTCTAGAAAGCTGGCGTTGGAGCTTGGGCTCTCTCCCCCCATACACGCCCGGGCTCACTCCGCTCTCTGACACAACTACTTCCTCTTCGCTCAACCAGCAGATGAGGAAGCAAAGAAGAAAAAAAAAAAAAAGGTCTAAAACAAAAGAGTTTAGAAGCCGCTGGCGCTTCCCTCCATCTCCGGAGCATATCTGATGACCACACGCCTCATTTTAAAGGGGACCTGTCACTTTGACGGTTCCACCCCTTCCACGCAAGCTCTGAAATCCATCTCTGTTGTCACAGCTTCCCCTTGACATTGACCGCGAGTGTCCGGCCAATGGACGTCTGCCCGCCCCTCCTCCTATACAGGGCTTATACATCTGCTTTCATGTCAGGGCCGGGCCGAGGGGTAGGCAGAAGAGGCAGCCACCTTGGGCGCTTCAGCGGGAGGAGGGTTCGAAGAGGGCAGGACCTGCAACCTGTGATGCTGAAGGAGTTCACAGCTCACGAAAAGAAGGGGGGAAGGGGGGGTACGGTGCTCTCGAGGAGCCTGCACACATATGTGGGGCCGATATTAGACAGGAGCCAATCGACCCGCCAGCATGTCTTTGGCGTGTGGGAGGTAACCCACACAAGCACAGGGAAACATGCAAACTCCACGCAGATAGTGTTCTGGATTTGAACGCAGGACCCCGGTGCTGCGAGGCGGACGTGCTAACCACTGAGCCACTTTTAAGTACATTACGTTAGAATTTCGATACTTTTTTAGGTATATAAAGAGATCAGATGGACATAAAAAAAGTTATCAGTTTGTGTTCCAAACCCCCCCCC